TGACGTTGATTCTAAAAGCGGAGGGAAAAACCGGAGAAAAATCCACGCGACCACGGGAGGAGAGAGAGACACGCAAACTCCAAATATACAACAGGCGTCAGAGTCCGGATCGAACCTACGATCTCCTGTATACCAGGCGAGGTAGTTAACATCTCCTAGCCACCGTGATGATGATGATGAGAGAGAGAGAGACACGCAAACTCCAAATATACAGCAGCAGGCGTCAGAGTCGTGATCGATCCCACGACTTCCTGTAGACCAGGCGAGGTAGTTAACACCTCGCCACCACGGCAGCCCAATTTATCGAGGGATTTTGCTTCTTGACGGACGGGTAGTGAATTTACCAGCGCGGCATTCTGGGCTCTCCCCCCCCCCCCCACCGGACGTTCTTGGAACAAAAAAGTTCCAACTCCAGTGCTCACCAGGCCACCGTTCACCTTCCTCCACGGGCCGTGTGCGACGTGGGAACCCAGAGGCAGCCTCCGTATATGTATCGCAAGGTGCTCTGCCCCAATATTGCCGTGCTGTGAATGCACATTTTTCGATTTTCAGGACGCTGTCTTTCCGACAGCTCTGTTCTTCACCTGAGGACGGCTGCTAGCGTTGTGGCCGAAACGTCGTGAGCATTTTATTTGATCATGTTGAATTTTTATTATTTTATTATTTCCCTTCTACGTGACTTTACCGAAAGAACCAAGAAGATGCAAGTGCAATGGCAACAATCGTTCACACAGGAGGCTCGGTGCTACGTGTTTTTTTTTTCTCGTGCGTATGGGGAGCGGGGACATTTCCCATGCTCCACGCAAACGGCAACCTACTTGCATTGCGCGTTGGGATCCTATGATGGAATTTGAATGATTTATTTGAAGCTTTCGTGACTGCAGGAATCCATACTCTTTGGTTCTTTCGGTAAAGTCACGTGGGTAGAAAAATAATAAAATAATAAAATCGAAACGTCGTGATCTATAACACTGGTCAACAAAATAAAATAAAATAAATTCTGGCCTGGACTTTTGCAGCTGTTTTAGACTAATTTCAGGGTGCTGATTCCAAATCTGATCTCAGATTTGCTCTATCACATCTCATTTTTATGCTATCGGCATACCCCATTTTCATTGATTGTACCCGAAATTAACTCTGCGAGTCAGTGACTGCTTTAGTGTTAAAATATGGTGCTGTATTTTTAGGATAGTGTGTTTATAATATCATCTTATGTAGATATCCACATTTATTTAATACTTTTCTTCCGCAGTTTTTATTGAAAATGCAATATTTGATATCTCAAAAAAACCTGACGTGATAGACAAAAATGATGCCAGATTTGGAATCAGCACCCCAAAATTACCTTATAACCGTTGGAATACCTTATGCCAGAAAAATTGTGTTGACCAGTGTTATTTTTCTACCGACGTGACTTTACCGAAAGAATCAAAGGGTACATCTTCTTGGTTCTTTCGGTAAAGTCACATAGAAGGGAAATAATAAAATAATAAAAATAAAACATTATAAAATAATTCTCACGACATTTCGGCCACAACGCAAGCAGCCGTCCTCAGGTGAAGAACAGGTCTGTCGGAAAGACAGACCTGTTCTTCCCTTCTACGTGACTTTACCGAAAGAACCAAGAAGATGAATCCCTGCAGTCACGAAAGCTTTCAATCGAAAGAATCAAAGGGTATTTGAACTATTACTATAACACACGCAACCCCCAGCTGACCAACCTGCCCCTGCCCCTGGGCCACCGAGTTACACGCGTGAACTCGCCGCCAGCGTTGACCGATAGCGGTGAATGCTGGCGGGTGAACGCGATTCGTTTTTGTTGCGTGAACTGCCGCCGCTGTCTTGCTGACATCGGTGAACGCGATTCGTTTGGCGCTGGATGAGCGAAGCCGCTGTTTGCGTGCGTTGGTCTCACACGCGCCAACACCCGGGTACAAATGTTTTAAGCGAAATAAAAACACTCCCCCGGCAAAAATTCGCTCCCAAAATACCGGGTAGCGCCTCGTCACGCCTCCCATCAGCACCGTGGGCTACGTATGGTACGAAAGAAGTCCAACATACACACGTGCTTGCGTTACTCTTCCTGGATTTCTCTGTTGTTAGCAGTTGGGGGTAGAGCTTGTGATGGGCTGCAGCGCCGTAAAGGCCTTGGTCTGAATAACCTCTCTGATGATAATTGGATTTTTACCCTTCTATCTGGCAACAGAACTGACACCTTTTTACGAGGAGTCATGTTTGCATAGACCACAATACCTGCAGTCATAATGCAAACAAAAAGCACAACTCTGATAATGTATGCACTGTCCTTGAAGTTGATTGGTTCACACCCGAGACAGCTTTCCTTATAGCCCAGTCTCACATGGTGTTGGACCAGATGACGCCAAAAGGCGCACAACTCAAAGACAATGCACCACCAGAGTATGAGAGCTCGGGGTAAGCATTTACACCATTGGTTTTTTGTTTGCATTATGACTGCAGGTATTGTGGTAAAAAATGTGCTAGTTTTGTTGCCAGATTAAAGGGTAAAAAAACTATTATCATATTTTTTATTGGCAAATGAGGTACCAATGATGTAAACCTCTCTGATGCTGAGCGCACAGAGTCATTCACAGAGTCATCCACGGAGTCATTCACGGAGTAATTCAGGGAGTAATTCACAGAGTCATTCACATAGTCATTCACGGAGTCATCCACAGAGTCATCCACATAGTCATTCACATAGTCATTCACGGAGTCATTCACAGAGTCATTCACATAGTCATTCACAGAGTCATTCACAGTCATTCACATAGTCATTCACAGAGTCATTCACATAGTCATTCACGGAGTCATCCACAGAGTCATCCACATAGTCATCCACATAGTCATCCACATAGTCATCCACATAGTCATCTACAGAGTCATTCACAGACTCATTCACGGAGTCATTCACGGAGTCATCCACAGAGTCATCCACAGCTCCTTTGTTAATCCGGAGGAGAAGGTGTCCCCACACCATGTCAGTCGGGTTGACCGTACTTCACCATGCTGGTCACTGTGTGGGGTGAGAGGGTAGTGGAGTTCGATTCCCGCATTGGACGGGAATCGAACTCCTGGTGCCGGGTTCCCAGCGGAGTGCCACGACCACTGCACCACCGCTTTGCCTCTTCCCCGGTGCTGAGTCGTGAGAGCCAAGGGGAGGGATCGTGATGTTCCATGGAATCGTGGTGTTCCATGGTCCAGTGGTGTTCCATGTAATCGTGGTGTTCCATGTAATCGTGGTGTTCCACAGTTTCGTTTGGCTACTAATGCTGGTCCGGTTACCTGTTCTAGTTTGGTGATTCATTCTGGTTTGCAAGAGGCCGCTCCTCGCTGTGGCGTTGCCGGGTGCCGCGATCAGCGCCGCAGCCGGATGACCGCGTCCCTCTCGGTCAGCAAAGTTCAATCTACTCCGAGGTCACGCCGAGAGCGGCGAGCTGGCCGAGTCTCGACAGCTCCACTCGCGGGGCGATCCTTGACAGGAGGACATCGATATTTTTGTGGGTCTCGTCCCTCGCTGGCTCTTATAACCTTCTCTGCATCCTTTGTACACTCCCCCCCCCCCCCCCCCGTTGTTTCTCGGTTGTTACAACAGAAATGTGCAATGTTAATAAACACACAAGGTTTATTCATAATCAACGTTTTGGGGTTTAGATCGCGTTATTTATAAATGTGTCGTAACCCTCCACCACCCGACACGGCCAATCAGTAAAAAAGTGTCACGTTGACAAAAGACAAATAGTTCACTGCTTTAGCCGACCGGTGTGTTGAAGCGTGAACTATTTGTCTTTTGTCAACGTGACACTTTTTTACTGATTGGCCGTGTCGGGTGGTGGAGGGTTACGACACATTTATAAATAACGCGATCTAAACCCAAAAACGTTGATTAATAATAATATTGGTCGCGAAAGCCTACGTGTTAAACTGACACAGGGTTTGCTTAAACAGAGTGATGTTGTAACTCACGTGTCCCGTACCTAATTTGCGTTTTCGATTATTTAGCTTCTAACAACAAAAACAAATCTATCCACGTCTCGCACGCCCAGGGGATACGGAGTGCACCCCAGGTGAGAGAAGACGAACCGCTGCTTTACGCAAGAAGGGGCTCACGTCCCGAATGCCCTCGACCGAGTTCTATCTCCAGTAGTTGAATATATATGGAGAGAGAGAGAGCGCGAGAGAGCGATGTTCAAGTAGAAAAAAATCGCCCGCAAAGTCTCTGGGGGTTGTTTCTAAATACTCGGTGGCGAGGTGGGGTGGGCATCGTGAACCACCCTCACCCCACGTGGGTTTGCTTCGGCCACGTGTCGATCCTCCCACCCACCCACCCACCAACCCCCCCACCAAACCCCCCCACCCACCAACCCCCCCACCAACTAACCCACCCACCGACCCACCAACTAACCCACCCACCCACCCACCAACCCACCCACCAACCAACCCATCCACCAAACCACCCACCCACCAACCCACCCACCCACCAACCCACCCACCAACCCCATCGCCGCCTCTGCACCTGCGTGCATTGAGCAGCAGCGATGGTGTGGGTGGTGGGGGGGAGTGGTGGTGCAGCGGTTAGCGCGCTGCGCCACGAACCCAACCACCCGAGTTCGATTCCCTGCTCACGGCCACCATCACCAGCAGTGACGATTATCTGAACCTGCCCTGGGCCCTCCTCCTAGGTCGACTCAGCCTCAAACGAGTACCTGGTGGCAATACTGGCCCACCCACCCCCTCGTGTACCGGCCTTCACTCGCTAACAGCACTTTCCCCAACAGTCTGTTGAGGCTACACGGGGGTGGGGGGGGGGGGTTGCCTTTGGCAGGATAGGCGTGGGAGGAGGGGGGGGGGTGTTCATCACCGCAGTGAGAGCCACCACCACCACCCTCTCCGCGGGTGTCGTACGCTCGGATTACAAATTGGCGTGGCGGGAGTGAACCTCCTCCACCACTCAGAAGCTCGGGGCGGAGCAGCGTCGCCATAAAGGCGAAGGGGGCGGCATTCTTAAAGTCGTAAGCGATTGAAGCAGCGCGCCACTGCGTCTGCGAAGAGGGACTCGTCGACCGGTGCCAGGCAGTCCCCCCCCGTCCCGACCCCAATCACCACCTCTCGGTGGCGGCAACAGCGTCAGGAGCGAGCCCGTTATTAACAAATCCCTCTTCCCCGTGGGACTCCTTAATGCGCACGTGAAATATTGAGGACCTCTGAGCAACTCTGCTGCTGCGTGTCTGTGACCCCCCGTTGTGTCGCTCACGCCTGAGCACGATGATGATCCGGAGGACCTTTTGGCTGCTGGCGGTGCAAGCGTTATTGGCCGTCACTGTGAGATGTCAAGACGATGCACCCCGTGAGTCGAACTTTGCATTGTTTATGAGTTTGCGCGCGCGCGTCTGTGCGTGTTTGTGTGTGTCTCTGTGTGTGTGTGCTTCTGTTGGGAAATGTCACGCTTATGTGTGTCTGTGTGTGTTTGTGTGTGTGTGCTTCTGTTGGGAGATGTCGCGAGTGTGTCTGTTTGTGTCTGTGTGTGTGCTTCTGTTGGGAGATGTCACGGGTGTTTGTCTGTGTGTTCTTCTTTTGGAAGATGTCATGCGTGTGTGTCTGTGTTCTTCTGTTGAAAGATGTCATGCGCGTGTGTGTGTCTGTGTTCTTCTGTTTGGAGATGTCACGCGTGTGTGTCTGTGTGTTCTTGTGTTGGGAGATGTCACGGGTGTGTGTCTGTGTGTTCTGTTGAAAGATGTCACGGGTGTGTGTCTGTGTTGTTCTGTTGGGAGATGTCACGTGTGTTGTGTGCTCGTCTGTTGAGAGATTTCGCTCGGGTTGGCATGCGCCCACCGGTGTGGTTTGTCACAAGTCGCGTGTTTCTATTTTACTTTATTGTGGTGCTGCTAAGAGGAGGGAGCCCATTGAGACTGGGAGTTTTGAGTTTCGATTCGCTGTGAACGCTGGAAGGATCGTCACGCTCGCTTCGTTATGACGGCAACGGTGCGAATTAGCGTTCGTTGTTTTTGTTCTATCTGCAAAACATAAATAGTTTTAACTTTCGCGATTTCAAAATAAAACTTCTTTGGATTTGATGGCACGGTCAAATGTGACGTGCACCTTGGGGCGCTGATGAACTTCGCATCAACGCATTCCTCACTCTGGGTTACATTTAATTTATTTTTAAGCAATGGTGCCTTAAATTTTTATTTAAAGCTTTCGTGACTGCAGGGATTCATATTCTTGGTTCTTTCGGTAAAGTCACGTAGAAGGGAAATAATAAAATAATATTAATATAAAATACAAATTCTCACGACGTTTCGACTTGCTGTGAATTTCACACCTGATGATGATTGCTTGTGTTGCAGTCGAAACGTCGTGAGAATTTTTATTGTTTTATATTTATATTATATTATTATTTCCCTTCTACGTGACTTTACCGAAAGAACCAGGAATAACAATGGTCCCTTCTTAACAAAAACACATTTTGATTGAATGTGCGATGAATTATTGAACGCGTTGTGCATGACAGAACGCCGATTATAATTCATGATATCGTGAGTGTCACGCGAGGCGTATTTGTTATCGATCCATAAACATTCGACACTTGCTGTTATTTTGGTTTGCCAACCGCCGCTCTGCGTGAACGAATAACCCAAAAGCAAACAACAATTACACACCACGAGTTTATACACTTTTAGCTATTTCCTATAGTTCTTTATGTATTTATATCAATATATTAATTCGTTTCGTGTGACTTTCCTAACTTCCCCGTACACTTTGCGCTCACGTCGGAACGTTTAAATGTGTTGCTGTAACTCTCTGACCCCCGTGGTCCTACTGGACAGCTGTGAACAGAAGGAGCTTCATAGCTCATCGGATTCCTCCTCCGTTCCCAGTGATGGTCACGATTCGGATGAGCGCAATTATACAATGCGCTCGAATTTTCCACCGTGGCGGCATCAACAATGAAGTGCATTATACTGTTTGGTTATTTCGGTAAAGTCACGTAGGTAGAAAAAGAATTACAAAAAAGAAAAAATAAATTTCGATTTAAAGCTTTCGTGACTGCAGGGATTCATCTTCTTGGTTCTTTCGGTAAAGTCACGTAGAATGGAAATAATAAAATAATAAAAATAAAACATAATAAAATAATTCTCACGACGTTTCGGCCACAACGCAAGCAGCCGTCCTCGGGTGGAGAACAGGTCTGTCTGTCGAGCAGACAGAGTCTGTCTTCTCAACAAGAAAAAATACATACATAATGATATATAATAAAACAAAAATAATACATACATTATTATTTTTGTACCTACGTGACTTACCGAAAAAACCAAAGAGTATGGATTCCTGCAGTCACGAAAGCTTCAAATCAAAGTTAATTATCTTTGCTCGTTTCATTCATCGCGATGCTAATGGCAAATCGCAACACGACTAATCGGTAGGCTGTCTGTGGCGGGGTAAAAGTGTTACGCTTAAGTCAATGCATGCCGTGTCCACCCGTACGGTTTGCTCCGTATTCTTGTACAGGGAAATTGTAAAATGTTTGTTAAATGTTGTTCGATGTGATGAGCGGCTGTCATCATAATGGAGATTTGGGCTATCTTCTGAACCGAGGAATTCAGCCGCGGTGTTGTGACGTGAATGGTGTCTCTGATCATCGCTATTGCAGATACACAATTGCCCTTCTGAAGACATCGCTGTCAACCCATCACGGCTTACCCCGTGTTCTTGTACAGGGAAATTGAGTTTCGAGGTCCATACCGCGTACAGCCGTTTCAATACGGGCAACAAAATATAGGTTTTTTTTGTCTATTTGTGTTTCTCCCTTGTGATGGGACTTTGTAGGATGAACGTTGAGATTTATAAAGGGCACGAGGTGACCAATAAGGTCTGAATTGGTCTGTAATAAGGTAGGGCACTGATAAGGGGTTGACAGGTATGTCGTGGTGAGTGTAGTGGTGAGTGTACCAGTGGTGAGTAGTGGTTAGTGTACCAGTGGTGAGCGTAGTGGTGAGTGTACCAGTGGTGAGTGTAGTGGTGAGTGTACCAGTGGTGAGTAGTGGTGAGTGTACTAGTGGTGAGTAGTGGTGAGTGTACCAGTGGTGAGTAGTGGTGAGTGTACTAGTGGTGAGCGTAGTGGTGAGTGTAGTGGTGAGTGTACTAGTGGTGAGTAGTGGTGAGTGTACCAGTGGTGAGTGTAGTGGTGAGTGTACTAGTGGTGAGCGTAGTGGTGAGTGTACTAGTGGTGAGCGTAGTGGTGAGTGTAGTGGTGAGTGTACCAGTGGTGAGTAGTGGTTAGTGTACCAGTGGTGAGTGTGGTGGTGAGTGTGGTGGTGTTGATTGTGTATGTGTCTGTGTGTCCCCCATGTGATGGAACTTTGTAGGATGAACGTTGGGATGTATAAGGGGCACGGGGTGACCATTAATGTCTGAATTGGTCTGTAATAAGATGGGGCACTGATAAGGGGTTGACCGCTGTGTCAATGTACCTGCGATTCATCTTCTTGGTTCTTTCGGTAAAGTCACGTAGAAGGGAAATAATAAAATAATAAAAATAAAACATTATAAAATAATTCTCACGACGTTTCGGCCACAACGCAAGCAGCCGTCCTCAGGTGACGAACAGGTCTGTCGGAAAGACAGACCTGTTTGCGTTGTGGCCGAAACGTCGTGAGAATTATTTTATTATGTTTTATTATTTTAGTATTTCCCTTCTACGTGACTTTACCGAAAGAACCAAGAATATGATTCTCATCAGATTTCGGAAGCTAATATTGGGATCGTCGTCATGATCATCATCATCATCCTCCTACTCCTATCACAATTAAGTTCTCTACTCGAAGTTAACAACAATGCTGTGTTGCTCATTGGTCCCCCCACTGCAGCTCGGGGCAGTCGTGCCGAATGTTCCTCGCCGATGCTTCCCTGGTTCACCGCCGGCAGTTGTCCCCAAACCTTCCCTGCCTCACTACCGACCATCGTCTTTGGCTGACCGCGTGCGGACAACAAATATGGGCGCATCCCACCTGGATGATCCCACCGCGATAGGCGACGCGGATGTCTTTGGGGGTCGAGGGGTTGGTGGCGGAGTGCTTCGAACCCGGCCACCCGAGTTTAATTCCAGACCGCGGTTGACGTCAGTCAACCCTGGTGTGCAGGAGGTCGTGGGTTCGATCCCAAACCCTGATGCCTGCTGCTGTATATTTGGAGTTTGCGTGTCTCTCTCTCTATTATCACGGTGGCTAGGAGATGTTAACTACCTCGCCTGGTATACAGGAGGTCGTGGGTTCGATCACAACCCTGACGCCTGCTGTATATTTCGAGTTTGCGTGTCTCTCTCATCATCATCATCATCACGGTGGCTAGGAGATGTTGACTACCTCGCCTGGTATACAGGAGGTCGTGGGTTCGATCACAACCCTGACGCCCTGCTGCTGTATAATTGGAGTTTGCGGTGTCCCTCTCTCCCTCTCTCGCTGTGATCGCGTGGATTTTTCTCTGAGCCCTGCGGGTTTTCCCCGCCACATTTGGAATCAAAGTCACACGTTTACAGTATTTGGCTACTGATATTCATTACCACGTGATGATAAGCGACTTCGTAGAGCTATCATTTGTGATCGCCAGGTCGCTTCTGAAAGAAGAGCTACATAGCTCAGTGGGGCCTTACCGGGTAAAAAAACCCAAAAATATTTCATAGTTTTATACCTCAACTGGTCCGAGGTGCCCACACCCCCTTACCCACAGCTTCACCAGGCTGCACTGACCAGCGTGGTGAAGTATGGTCAACCAGACCACCATAACCAACACGGCATTGGGTAAGGCCTTCATACAGCGGTGGATTGACAAACGGCTGGAAGTTATGTTTTCATTGATTTATTTATATTTCCAGATGTTGCTCATTTAATCTACGGTCCCCCAGGGATATCATTGTCTCTGATCCGATGTAGAACGGCATCGTTAATGTTCGCCCAGCCGAGAGCCCCAATTCGATGCCAGAAGTCTCGTTTTTTTGCAGGGAGACCTTTGCGAACACTGTCTGTAGTTTCCCTTCGCACCGTACGTAGCCAACCATGCTCATCGGCGCAGCGTTCAAGTGCAGCCGCTTTTTGGCTGCTGGCCGTCGAACAAAGTCGGGTGACCGCACCGCGCGCCACATTCAGGTTGTGCTGCCGCGGCCGTCTGGAACGCTCTTCCTCACGACATTCGGAAGCTTCTGGGAGCTGCGCGATTGTAAATCGTCGTCTCGATCGACACACTCATTTCTTCAGAACTGATTGTTGTGCGTTTAGTTTGTTGTACACAACCCCCCCCCCCCCCCGCACATCGAATTCGATTAGCGCGGTTGGCTACGTAGGGTGTGAAAGAAGTTTAACGTACATACGTGCCAGCTCAGGGTTAGGGGTGGGGGGTAGAGCCAGGTAACGTGGCCTTGCTGGTGGTACCATTGGTGCGCTGTGCATGGACGGGAGCGATATTCGTGAGAACGCTCCCCCGGTCATTGGGCTTGCGCTTCGAGCAATCGAGCGATGAGAATTCGTGGCCGGTGAACCCCCCAACAAAGCGTCCGAGGCTTTGATTTGCAGCAATAATTGAAAACGTTATTCGTTTTCAATGATTGGTTCATGGTCATCGTCTTCATCACTCCCGTCTCTTCGACCACCCACTATCGTCGTCATCATTGTCGTTATCGTCGTGGAAAACAAAAACCCATCGCTGTCCACCCATCACGGTTTAACCCGTATTGTCGTGCAGGGAAATTGAGTTTTCAGGTCCATACGGCATACAACCGTTGCAATACCGACACAAAAAAATGTGTTTTGTCTATTTGTTCGTGTTTCATCCCTCGTGATGGGACTTTGTAGGATGAACGTTGAGCTGTATAAGGGGCACGGGGTGACCAATAAGGTCTGAATTTGTCTGTAGTAAGGTAGGGCACTGGTCAGGGGTTGACAGGTATGGTAATGTGTGACGTCACCACTACCATCATTCTCAGCATCATCATCCTCAGCAGCATCGATGTCGTCAGTATCATCAAACACATTTGTATTGCGCCCTTCGCCAGCCAGTCGGGGTGGAGTTGGCGACATGACATAGTTCAAGTTCATGTATTAGGTGTAGCCCTGTGAGCCATTCGGCTCTTGAATCGGGTGCAACCGCAACAAACAAAAAACATGAACAAGAAAACATCTTAAAGTGAATATGTTACTAAGTGCAAACAGAAATTCCAAGAAAAGACAGCAAACATTATGTATGCAGGTTAACTGTGAATAACCCAACTAATAATAGGGTACGGGATATTCCCAGATTGACGTGATCCACTGTAACTTATAAGACTACGTGAACCCCTCTCTCTGGTCTTCGCACCTGATAGGCTCACAGCGATGACGTCACCATGGAAGTCTTCGCAACTCTGTCCGTCGCCTGATGATGCTAGTTGCTGCTGTAATCACCAGCGAAACGTCACGGTAGCCTCAGCGTAAATGTTGTGGGTTTACTCTGCAACACAGCGGTGGTGCTGTACTAGTGACGAATTGGCCACGTTTTGTTCACGTGACACACCTGTTCTAGTTAAACTGTGTCGGGTGGTGGCGGGTTTAACGACGCATTCGTATTCACGCGCTATAACCCCCAGACTGTATTATGAATATTGGCCGCGAAAGCCTACGTGTTAAATTGAATGTTTTACTGTTACTAGTATTATTGTTGTCGTCACACATCAAAGAGCTTTAAATGTGTGCCCCATTGTAGAAAAGAGATGCACGAGACCCTCAGTGATTTTTGTTGTTGCTCCGAAGCAAAGTCACCAAAGGCGAAGTTTCTCCACTTAATTCATAACCGGCATCTTTCTTCATTCTTGAGGAATCCGCAAACTCCTCCAGGCCCTTCCCGCCTGAAACGGTGTAGGAACTCGCCCGAGTAAAGCGTCAGCCCTCGTGACGGTTGCTAACTTCTCACAAACTTTGGCCTTCTCATTTTCATCAACTCAAGTGCGATGACGGATTGAGTCAGCACCCCCCCCCCCCTCACCCTCCCTTCCCGAACCAGGATTTCAACTCACAACCTTTTTCGATTCGCGAGTCAAATCTTTGCAACGTCATTAGGTACAGCTCTCAAGTTATTATCTTGACCTTCGACCCCCTCCCTCTTGCCCTCTCTACCTCTTAAAAAGAAAATTACGCATTCGCTCCGTATGTACGGTTGAACTTCTTACGCACCGCACATTGCCAAACCGTGCTCGCTAACCCTCGATGCGTGACCTCGCCCCCGTCATTCGCGCCGCGTTTCGAGATCCGACGCGTCTTGAGCAATAAGACCCTCAAGCGCCGTCACGGTCACAGCTCTTGGTCATCGACGACCGCCCAGATTAGCAGCTTGCAGGCGCCAGGCGCGACCGGCTGTGGCCGTGCTGGGTGGCTGCGTGGTTCGTGCCTTCGAGCAGCGGTGGCGTAGCCGCGGGTTGGCATCGGCCTCCGCACACTCTTTGAAGATCCCTCCCCCACCGCCTGCTTCAAAGCCCGGCAGCTGGGCCACTCCGGTGCAGTTGCACCGCCTGCACTCTTCTCGGTAGCTAGCCCAAACTGACCTGTGGGACGCTTCGTAAGTCCGTGGGCCGCTGTGTAAATACAGGGTGCGTAAATGTTTAGTTTTAACACTTTTGATGGGACTCTCGTTTTTAATGGGAAAAGAACGGATAATGCATTGTAACATGATAACTAATGTAACGTTAATAGCTTCAAAAAGTCAACGAGTCTCCCACTTGTTCGCCAGCGTTGTCAACGCGTGGCCTGGAATCTTCTCGAGGTGGTCTCCAGAGCTCGGAGGCGCATTTCTTGTGGTGTTGTTACAAATTCTCAGAAGTGTTAAATAAATTTCGATTTAAAGCTTTCGTGACTGCAGGGATTCATCTTCTTGGTTCTTTCGGTAAAGTCACCCCTTCTACGTGACTTTACCGAAAGAACCAAGAAGATGTTAAATAAATGTTGAAGCACCCCGTATACGAATGACCGGTGACCAATCTGAAACCATTGACCCGCTCCCGCTACATTAGTTGACAAACCCAGTTTAATAATCTATGCAGCTCCAAGGGATCTCTGTGTGAGTTCCATGGTGGTGGTGTGATTGTGGAGTAGTGTGACCTCCCGGGATCTCGTGGTAGTGGTGGTGGTGTGACCGTGGGCTGCTGTGTGACCCCTCCCGGGGTCTCGTGGTGGTGGTGGTGGTGTGACCGTGGGCTGCTGTGACCCCCCGGGGTCCCGTGGTGGTGGTGTTGTGACCGTGGCGTTGTGTGACCCCTCCCGGGGTCTCGTGGGGGTGGTGTTGTGACCGTGGCGTTGTGTGACCCTCCGCTCTCCTCTCCCGTTGTGCGTCACGGCGCGAGCAGTCGGGAGCTGTGAGGACGAGATCGGGCAGCTGCACGACAACAAGGACGTGTGGAAGTCCGAACCGTGCACCCTCTGCGTCTGCGACAATGGCAACATCTTGTGCGATGACCTCATCTGCGAGGACCTGATGGACTGTGCAAACCCCGTCATCCCCGAGGGGGAGTGCTGCCCCATCTGCGGCGACGGTAACTGCACCCACCGCCCCCTAACCCCCCGCCCCCCACCCCCGCTCTCTCCCGTCACCGATGTGGGTTCTGACATTTCACAGGAGGCGGTGACAGGCCACCGTCACCCGTTGTGTGGCTATGGTGCCAGCAGAGGCACTCGCTTGATGCCAAAATTCCACTTTGTCCGACCCAGGGAAGGCCTCACTGAGTCTCAAGACTCTGAGTCGGGGGGGGGGGGGTTTCGAGGAGGGGTCCTGACAAGTTTGCGGAGCGATGTTGAGTTGCGTAATCCCAATTTGGTTAAGTTGTGGGTTATTTTTTTCACCATTTGGCCTGATAGGGCCAGTAACCAGTTACCACACCGTGTGCCATGCACGAGGAGAACCCGGAGTGAAACTCGCGTACAACAGGGGGAGGGGAAAAATAGAAACTCCACACACGAACAGGCGTCCGAGTCGGGGAATCGAACCCAAGATACTAGTGATGTGGTCCACTGACATTTAAATATTTTACTTGAAATATTTTCTGATGTGGCTTTCCCCTGATGTGGTTTTCCCCCCGACTAAATAATGACATCCATGTAAAATTACATGTAGATTTCTGTTTGTTTGTTTGTTATATATAGCAAGCTAGTTTTGGAATTGTTAAGTAAGGTAACCCGATGTTATTGTACTGTAGAGGGTGTAGCTCTGTCTCACTCACCAAGATCAAGATCCTTGATCTTGGTCTCCCAGCGAGATGCCTTCCAAGGCATCATTAGTCACCGCTCGTTAAATACTTATCATCACAGCCAGCCGCGAACCTCAGTGACACCACGGGTTGGCATACACGCTCCTTATCCCGCTGATCGGGCTAGCGTTAGCACGCAGACAATTACGATGTGACTCCCGTAGTGCTTCTGCCAGGGTCTGCAGATCAGCTCCTGGGAATATCGCATCGGCATTTTGCTGCACCTTTTCGATGAGTTTCAAGCGGGATCGAGGATATTTCTCCACGCCGACAACCGCGTTGGCTGCAAACGGTTAAAGCGGCCCAGGCAATTACAAAATGAAATGAAATGGGAACATCGGACGCAATGGTAACTGCGGTGTAAGCGATCGGTCAGAGTCGTGTACAAGCCAATCGGTGTGCACGGCCATCGAGGCTGAACGCGCGTGACATCTGCTGGATCTGCAATATAAATGTACGTGTGTCGAACCTCTTTCACGCCGTACGTAGCCAACCGTGCTAATCCGAGGTGCGGTATATGTTTGAATGTTGAACTTATTCTGCACAATACCTAACCGACCGTGCTAATCGGAGGTGCGGTGTATGTACATGTGTTGGACTTCTTTCGCGCCGTGCGTAGCCAACCGTGCCAATTCTTCGTCTCGTTTTAGTCTGACACAAGTCTCTCTGCTTCTCTTTGTGTTTCAGAAAACGGCGCTGCCAAGGTACGTGATCTCCCCTGTGCGTCTGCGTGACGCAGCGCTCTTCTGCAATGCGCAGCATCCGACAGATGCGCTTGAATGAGGGTGCCGCCCGTTGTTGAATGATTACACAGCCACAGAGACTCGCGGAGATGCGTAGAGACCAGTCGTAATACGTAGAGATGCATGGAGACCCAAAGATGCTACATTAAAAGCAAGTTACAGGAGTGCGATTGTGGCCATGCAACACAAACTCTGGACCCATTGAGTAGAAGCCACAGAGGCACACATAGACCTCGTATGGTTAAACACAGAGACCCATAGAGATACACAGACACTCATCTAGAGATACATAGATTCCCATAGAGATACACAGATACTCATCTAGAGATACATAGATTCCCATAGAGATACACAGAGGCCAATAGAGATCCACAGCGAAACGTTAAAGGCAAGCCACGGTACTGTGATTTCGTCCACGCAGCCCAAACTACGGACAATATCGTAAACCCACAGAGACACGAAGAGACGCACGTGGTAGAGATCGCACGACGCACGTATCGTGCAAAAAAATGAAATAAGCCGCGGAATTCTTGCGCGCCCGGTTCCCTTCTAACCTCTGCCGACGTCTCTCGTTTTTTGTGCCGCAGCTTCAACTCACCGAAGAGCCCAAGGTGGAGGTGAGAGAGAGAGCGGCGATCCTGGCGGGAGACGCCGGCCCGGGCCCTGCTGTCGGCCTGGATGAGACCTGCAGAGGCAGCACAGACCAGATCTCCCCCCCACCCCCCCACGAAGTTTCTCCCTCCCCCCCCCCACGAATGGGTTCTCCCCAAGTGGAACAAAGCATTTAGTTCCTTGCCAGAAAAACATCATCATCAAATTTCGATTTAAAGCTTTCGTGACCGTAGGGATTCATATTCTTGGTTCTTTCGGAAAAAGTCACGTAGAAGGGAAACAATAAAATAACACAAATATAAAACAATACAATTCTCACGACGTTTCGATCGCAACACAAGCAATCGTCATCATCAGGTGTGAAAACCACAGCGAGAACATTTTATTGCTGTGCTTTATTATTATTTTATTATTACCCTTCTACGTGACTTTACCGAAAAAACCAATAATAGCATCATCATCATTACTAGTAACCCCCACATACACCCACCTCCCCCCTGCTTAGGGTTAGCGGCGAGCGGGTTAAGACGCCGGGTCGGTACGTTGGCCGGGACCGAGTTAGAACCGCGCGGTCGACCGGCGAGCGGCTTGAGAGCTCACACCGGCTCTTTCAAACGCACGCTTTACGGAATATTCACGATTGTGGGTCCCGATTTAAAGCTTTCGTGACTGCAGGGATTCATCTTCTTGGTTCTTTCGGTAAAGTCACGTAGAAGGGAAGTAATAAAATAATAAAAATAAAACATAATAAAATAATTCTCACGACGTTTCGACGGCTGCTTGCGTTGTGGCCGAAACGTCGTGAGAATTGTATTTTATTATGTTTTATTTTTATTATTTTATTACTTCCCTTCTACGTGACTTTACCGAAAGAACCAAGCAGATGATTGTGGGTCCCTCGACGGCACGGATGGAACAAATGCCCCGTGGCTGGGAAACCAACGTCCCTGCGTCTGGGGGGTTACGACTGGGCATTCTCTCCACCGCGGCCGCACCAAGACGATCTTCGCCGCGTCGTCCGCGTGCTTTGCCGCTTGCTTTTGGCACGCGCCGCCCCCGAGGCAAAGTGGCGTTTTCTTGCGGTCGCGGAAACAGGTCCCCGATTCGGCTGTGGGGGTCAAAGGCCGTCAACGATCGATCGTAAACTCGTACGGGGGATATTGCGGGGATCGGCTCGCTTTTCGTTGAAGTTACTCGTAACGCATCACCATCGCTGGCCATATTGCCGCTCAACTGTGACGATTTGCTAAGTGCAGCACGATTGCTGGTGGTGCCGGCTAACGGAGTTGGTGGGGTATTGATGGCTAACGGCGTGGTGGTGGTGGTGCCGGCTAACGACGTGGTGGTGGTGCCGGCTAACGACATTGGCGTGGTGGTGGTGCTGGCTAACGGCATTGGCGGGGTGGCGGTGGCTAACGGCGTTGGCGTGGTGGCGGTGGCTAACGGCGTGGTGTCGGCGCGTGTCCGTGGCGTGCGCGTGAGCAGGTGAAACCGGCGCGTGGGGGCAAGGCAAATGCTCGCCGTCCCGGTCGGCCACCCGTCCCCAGCCAGGTGAACACCGCCTCCCCGCTCGTCCCTTATCTCATCTAGATTGACCAGATGTAGATTTATTATATGTAGATTTACTATACATATTTACTATATATAGATTTACTATAGATTTACTATATAGAGATTTGCTACATATAGATTTACTATATACAGAATTACTATATTACAGAATTACTATATGTAGATTTACTACATATAGATGTACTACATGTAGATTTACTATATACACATTTACTATATACAGATTTACAATGCAATTGTACACAAGATGATCGTGGCTGAGACACTAAAGAGTAGACGGTGGGGTTGTTATTAAAAGTGTTGGTGGTGTAGTTATGGTGACAGGACAGGCGGGAGGGGTTAAGGAGGGCTTGGGGTAGTGATAGGGGTCGTGATAGGTGTAGTGGTAGTGGTAGCGATAGTGAAAGGAGTATGGGGTAGTGGTAGGGGTAGTGATGTTTGGGTTAGTAGTAGGGGTAGTGATAGGGGTAGTGAAAGGGGTAGTGGTAGGGGTAGTGATGTTTGGGTTAGTAGTAGGGGTAGTGATAGGTGGTAGTGAAAGGGGTATGGGGTAGTGGTAGGGGTAGTGATAGGTGGTAGTGAAAGGGGTATGGGGTAGTGGTAGGGGTAGTGATGTTTGCGGTAGTGGTAGCGGTAGGGGTAGAGGTAGCCCTGGTCGTAGCTGGGAGCAGGGAGTAGCCGGATGACGATGATGATGACGATGATAATGATGATGACGACGACGATGATGGGCTAGGGAGGGTTATCGAGCCGGGGTTTGATTGAAGGGAGGAGTGGAAGCCGCAGGTTGTTAAAGAGCGACCACGCGCTGACTCCGCGTGCTGCTTCTCGTTCGCACGGCACCCGCACGCAAGCGGCGCTGCACCACGCGCGCAGATGTGCTCGGATAACGTTTCGGTCAATGGCCCTTTTTCAGAGCCGAAGAGGGCCACAGCTCTCGACGTGTGCCATTGTCAGGCTATTGTTACTCACATTACACTGGCTATTGTTACTCACATTACACAGGCTATTGTTACTCACATTACATAGACTATTGTTACTCACATTACACTGGCTATTGTTACTCATATTACACAGGCTATTGTTACTCACATTACACTGGCTATTGTTACTCATATTACACAGGCTATTGTTACTCACATTACACTGGCTATTGTTACTCATATTACACAGGCTATTGTTACTCACATTACACTGGCTATTGTTACTCATATTACACAGGCTATTGTTACTCATATTACACAGGCTATTGTTACTCACATTACACTGGCTATTGTTACTCATATTACACAGGCTATTGTTACTCACATTACACTGGCTATTGTTACTCACATTACATAGACTATTGTTACTCACATTACACTGGCTATTGTTACTCATATTACACAGGCTATTGTTACTCACATTACACAGGCTATTGTTACTCACATTACACAGGCTATTGTTACTCACATTACACAGGCTATTGTTACTCACATTACACAGGCTATTGTTACTCACATTACACTGGCTATTGTTACTCACATTACACAGGCTATTGTTACTCATATTACACAGGCTATTGTTACTCGGCTTTCCGTCAAAATTTCCTTTAGGGGCAGACGCGGAGAGCCGCCGCTTTGACAACCCCCACCACCCCCCCTCCCCGCCTCGATCAGGCGTGCACGCAGTGCCGCAGTTGGGGTTGCGTTGAGCGCTGGCGAGCGTCGCAAGAGATTTGGTCAATCGCGGAAAATGCGTAACGCCCCTTGGTTTGGCGGTCGTGAGCGCTGGCGCCGGGAAGCACGTGCGATGTTCGTGGTGCCGCGTCACTCACGCTGCCACTCTCTCTTTGTCTCGCTGTCGTCTCAGCCCGAGAACGGAAGGCGGCCGGTGATTCCTGTTCCTTCGTACCCGGAGTCCGTTGGGGTACGTGTCTCTCACTCGCTCTCTCCGTGTCTCCTACTCGCTCTCTCTGTCTCTCCCTCTCTGTCTCTCACTCGCTCTCTCCGTGTCTCCTACTCGCTCTCTCCTTGTCTCTCCCTCTCTGTGTCTCTCACTCGCTCTCTCCGTGTCTCTCACTCTTCGTGTCTCTCTCTGGCAGTACATGTTCTAAAATTGGAACGATACAGAGAAGATTAGCATGGCTCCTGCGCAAGGATGACACACAAATCCGTGTCTCTCCCCGTGTCTCTCCCTGTGTCCCTCCCTCGCTCTCGCTCTCTCGCCGTGCAATAGGAATAATTATTGTTGCACCGATCGTATCGTGTTGCTTGGGATGAATCCCCATATCGAGATGTACGAAATGTGAGTGCTGAACCCATCTGTGCAGCCCGTTGAGTGCGATCCACTCCCACGTGTGCGGAGTTGTTCCCTCCACGTGCTCCGCTGTCCTCCCACACGCCGGCCATCCATGGAGGGAATTGGCCAAACATGTTGATGCAGGACACCTCCTGAAAATCATCTCGAGACTCTCAGTGAGGCCCTCTTGTGCCGACGCACCGAATTCACGTCAATCAGTTGATGCCTTTGACTGGCGCTTCGGTGACCGTGATGTAACTCATTCACAAAGCATCTTGTCAGCTGCTTGTAGCCCCCCGCCCCCCCCCCCCATCTACTAGAATAGGAAGTTGAACTTGGAGTTGATTTATCGTGGTTGTGGCTGCCGTGCGTGTTAGCGTAGCGTGTTAGCGTGTGTACGTGCGTGTTAGCGTAGCGGTTAGCGCGCCCCGCTATCAATCCGGCGACCCGAGTTCGATCCCCGGGCCTCCCCTTAGGTCGACTCGGCCTCAAATGAGTACCTGGTGGTGAACTGTAAAACATCACCACTGGGGAGACAAAGGCGGCCGGGCGTGGTGTTGCCCACCCACCCACCCCCTCGTGCGCCGTGCCGGCCTTCACAGGTGCTACTCTCTGACAGCACTTGCCCCAACAGTCTGTTACAGGCTATACGGGGGATCTTTGTTGGTGTGTGTGGACGTAGCCGCTTACTCGCCGTGTATAACGAGTGTGTGTGTGCGTGTGTGTGCGCGTGTACGTGTGTGTGTGCACGTGTGTGTGTACGTGTGTGTGTGCGCGTGTGTGTGCGCGTGTGTGTGTGCGCGTGTGTGTGTGCACGTGTGTGTGTGTGCACGTGTGTGTGTGTGCACGTGTGTGTGTGTGCGTGTGTGTGCGCGTGTACGTGTGTGTGTGTGTGTGCACGTGTGTGTGTACGTGTGTGTGTGCGCGTGTGTGTGCGCGTGTGTGTGTGCGCGTGTGTGTGTGCACGTGTGTGTGTGTGCACGTGTGTGTGTGTACGTGTGTGTGTGCGCGTGTGTGTGCGTGTGTGCGTGTGTGTGCGCGTGTGTGTGTGCGCGTGTGTGTGTGTACGTGTGTGTGTGTGCACGTGTTTGTGTACGTGTGTGTGCGCGCGTGTGTGCGTGCGTGTGCGCGTGTGTGTGTGCGCGTGTGTGTGTGCACGTGTGTGTTTGTGTGCGTGTGTGTGCGCGTGCGTGCGTGTGCGTGTGTGCACGTGCGTGTACGTGTGTGTGTGTTTGTGTTCCCTCGCCTGCGTCCCGCCGCAGCCGTACGCAGCTCAGATGGGCGGCGGCTACAAGACGGAGTCGACGGAGACGGGCGCCCCCGTGAGTCCCGCCGGCCTCGGCGCCTCCCGCTCGCACCCCCCCCGCCCCCTCCCCCTCGGCGCCTCCCGCTCGCACCCCCCCCCGCCCCCTCCCCCTCGGCGCCTCCCGCTCGCACCCCCCCCGCCCCCTCCCCCTCGGCGCCTCCCGCTCGCACCCCCCCCGCCCCCTCCCCCTCGGCGCCTCCCGCTCGCACCCCCCCCCGCCCCCTCCCCCTCGGCGCCTCCCGCTCGCACCCCCCCCGCCCCCTCCCCCTCGGGCTTCACGGCTGCTGATGACGATGATGACGACGATGATGACGACGACGACGATGATGATAATGATGACGATGATGATGACGACGGTGATGATGACGACGATGATGATGATAATGATGACGATGATGATGATGACGATGATGATAATGACGACGATGATGATAATGATGACGACGATGATGATGACGATGATGATGATAATGACGACGGTGATGATGACGACGATGATGATAATGACGACGATGATGATAATGATGACGACAATGATGATGACGATGATGATGACGAAGATGATATCAACGACGATGATGATGATGATAATGATGACGATGATGATGATGATAATGATGACGACGATGATGATGACCATGATGATGACGATGATGATGATGATAATGATGACGACGATGATGACGACGACGGCGACGATGTCAACGACGATGATGATGATGATGGCATTGATAATGATGATGACGATGATGATGATGATAATAATGACGACGATGATGATGATGACCACGACGATGATGTCAACGATGATGACGACGATGATGACGACGTCGATGACAAGGGCCCCAAGTCCGCGGGATGCTTCGGTTTTCCCTCCTCCCCCCCACGTGGTACAATACAAGACGGTTCGTCCACATAGCTGTGTCAGCCCCATTATTATCAGTGCCCTACCTTATCACGGATAAATTCAGACCTTATTGGTCACCCCGTACCTCTTATAAATCTCAACGTTCATCCTACAAAGTCCCATCAATAGGGAGAAACACAAAAAAATAGACAAAATACATATTTTGCCCGTAATGAAACGGCTATACGCCGTATGGACGTGAAAACTCAATTTCCCTGCTGCACAAGAATACGGAGGAGACCGTGATGGGTTGACAGCGATGGGACCTCGAGACCGTGATGGGTTGACAGCGATGGGACCTCGAGACCGTGATGGGTTGACAGCGATGGGGCCTCGAGACCGTGATGGGTTGACAGCGATGGGACCTCGAGACCGTGATGGGTTGACAGCGATGGGACCTCGAGACCGTGATGGGTTGACAGCGATGGGACCTCGAGACCGTGATGGGTTGACAGCGATGGGGCCTCGAGACCGTGATGGGTTGACAGCGATGGGGCCTCGAGACCGTGATGGGTTGACAGCGATGGGACCTCGAGACCGTGATGGGTTGACAGCGATGGGACCTCGAGACCGTGATGGGTTGACAGCGATGGGACCTCGAGACCGTGATGGGTTGACAGCGATGGGACCTCGAGACCGTGATGGGTTGACAGCGATGGGACCTCGAGACCGTGATGGGTTGACAGCGATGGGGCCTCGAGTTCAATCCTCCGGCCGTGGGTCACGTCAGTGGCGAGCGACGATGTGGGGAGATTTTTGCGGATTGAGAAAGCGACTGTGAACATTATTGTTAACGAGTAAAATATCATCCAATTAGTCGTATTGATGTATGGATTGGAAAATCCATAGGGCAAATTTTAATGAAATATTTAAATATCCTTTCAAGAAACGTACGTCCGCTCAACGCCGTGGACGTACGTTTGTATTTCACGTCGTTTTTCGACCCAAGCGTTGCTTTGACATGTGTGTAAATTCATCCGGCACAACTTTAGGGCGCAGTGAATGAACGAGATGCGTCGCGGACGTTTTACTCAATTTGCTTGGATCAGCTGTGAAACGGTTCCGGGGTTCCACTGCTCACGTCTGCCCCCCCGCTCCCCTTCTCCCCCCCCCCCCCCCCGCCACCACCCATCTCTGCAGGGCCCCATGGGACCTAGGGGACCTCCTGGCCTGCCTGGCCCTTCGGTAAGTCTCCGCACCGCGAGCACTGACCTCACTCGGTAGCCGTTGAACCGCCGTGGGCGAACGTAACGAGTGCAGGGACCTCGTCGCGAGGAGTCTTGGGACCCGGCGGCGCATCCGTGGCTAAATGGTGTCCACGTTGCGCTCGACAACAAGAAGCTGAATGGAAAACAAATATGATAATAGTTTTTTTACCCTTCTATCTGGCAACAAAACTGACACCTTTTTTTTACAAGGAGTCATGTTTGCATAGACCACAATACCTGCAGCCATAATCCTTGAAGTTGATTGGTCCACACCCGAGACAGCTTTCTTTAGAGCCTAGTCTCACATGGGTTGGACCAGATGACGCCAAAAGGCGCACAACTCAAGGACAATGCACCATCAGAGTATGAGAGCTCGGGGTAATGAGGGAAAACAAATCGTTAGTTTCATCTGTACCTGTCAATATCTATTATTTAAAGAACAATTTGATAGTTTCGACATGCGCCATATTTTTCTACAGGAGGTTTTTTGGAAAATGCGCCATATAACTGGGCCTTACCTTGTAAAAGAAATTAAAAAATAGTTGAATTTTAGTTTAGACGTCCCTCGCTTGCGTTATTTATGCGCCCTGCGAAGGTGGTCGTGGTTTTTTGTGTTGTTATTGATGTCGATGCGTGTTTATTTCTTGGTGCCGTGCAGGGCCCAGCTGGATCTTCGGGAGCCCCAGGAGAGCCTGGAGAGCCAGGAGCTTCTGTGAGTCACCGCCAGCGACCGTGCACCCACATCTCACCACGTGCACCCACATCTCACCACGTGCACCCACATCTCACCACGTGCATGGCAGAGGTCGCAAACGGGTTTTGATTCCTTACCCGTACCCGTACCCGGCCGCACCAGGGTCGCAAACGGGTACCCGTACCCATACCCTACCCGATACCCGGCTACCCGGCCGGGTAGGGTACGGGTACGGGTACCCGATTGCGACCTCTGGGATGAAGCCATGTTGCAGGCGCGGGTGGGTTGATTCTAGGAACTTGAATTGTGAGAAGAGACAAGACGTTGGGAAATGAGTGACAAACGGTGACTCACGGCCTACCCGTACCCGGCCGCACCAGGGCCGGGTACGGGTAGCCAGGTATCGGGTAGGGTACGTGTACGGGTACCCGGTTGCGACCTCTGGTGCATTGCCACGCTCGCGCCCATCACGCGTCAAAGCCATTGGGGCCCGAGCCGTGTGGATCGCCACAGGCCTCGGCCTCCCGCCATCGTCTCTGAAATGTGACTCCGGGCAAATGACTGCGCTCACTTTAACACGTAGGCTTCTCCACAAATCTGGCTGTGGCCTGATGAAGCTGGTTGTAATTACTGGCGAAACGCCGTACTCAGTTTGTAAGTGTTGTGGCTTGGCTCTCCAACACACAACCGGTTAGTGCTGTACTAGTACACTACACTATATACTACACTATACACTACACTATACACTACTACACACAACACTATACACTACACTATACACTACACTATACACTACACTATACACTACACTATACACTACACTATACACTAGTGCTGTGCCAGTGACGAATTGGCCACGTTCTCTACCGGCCCCCCCCCACTGGTTTCGCTCGTGAGCGGCAGTGCTCGGAGCGTGTGAGAATATCAGAACTGCAAAGGGCCTTTCGACAGAGAAAACCGCGAATGTGACATTGGAATAAAAATCATCGTGGAATGGCCTTTACGGTTTAATTCGATCCGTGTAGGGCTCGCGCCCGATTTTAAATAGCCACGCACGTGGCATTGGCGATGGTGATTGGCCAGTGAGTAGATCAGTTAATCGAATACAACGTCTCAAGACGGTGACTCGTGGTAACGGTGAAGATAAGTGATGTTGACGATAGGGGTTGTCGATGGTGACGATGTTCATGATGACTTTGACGATGGTGGTGGTGTTGATGATGAAGATGATGATGATGATGATTGTGGTGTTGATGGTGACGATGTTTGTGATGATGTTGATGATGTTGAAGATGATGTTGACGTTGTTGATGGTGGTGTTGACGCTGTCCCCACTCTCTCTCTCCCCATCCCCCAGGGTCCCGTTGGCCCTGTTGGACCCGTTGGGTCCCCAGGCCGTGCTGGTGAAGACGTGAGTACCCACCCCACTTTGACGAGATGTTAACTAGTGCGCCTTTTGGCGTCATCTGGTCCAACACCATGTGAGACTAGGCTCTAAGGAAAGCTGTCTCGGGTGTGGACCAATCAACTTCAAGGACAGTGCATACATTATCAGAGTTGTGTTTTTTGTTTGCATTACGACTGCAGGTATTGTGGTCTATGCAAACATGACTCCTTGTAAAAAAAGGTGTCAGTTTTGTTGCCAGATAAAGGGATAAAAAAACAATTATCATATGTTTCTTCTGGCAAATGAGGTTCCAATGGTGAGATGTTAACTACCTCGCCTGGAATACAGGAGGTCGTGGGTTCTGTGAGATGTTAACTACCTCGCCTGGTATACAGGAGGTCGTGGGTTCGATCCCGACCCTGACACCTGCTGTGTCTTTGGCGTTTGCGTGTCTCTCTCTCTCTCTCCCCATGGTCACGTGGATTTTTGTCCGGGTCCTCCGGTTTTTCCCTGCACATTTATAATCAACATCGCGCGTCCAGAATATTTGGCTGCTATAAATGTCCACGTGATGATAAGCCACTTCGTTGAGCTGCCATTCGTGGCCAATTCGCTTCTGAGAAAGAGCTGCACAGCTTAAGTGGGCTGTCAAAATGTAAAAAATAGTTTCTAGTTTTTTTTTTTGCATTAGAGTGTGAGCTCACACCTGCTCAATCAACGGCCGGAATGTGCGCGAGGATTCTCTCTCGATGCGTGAACGTTCATCGATGTACGCGTCTTGTGCCTCTGCCCAGGGTCACCCCGGCAAGGCTGGCATCTCCGGCGAGCGCGGGGCTCCCGGTTCTCAGGTACGCGAGCATCACGATCTCACAGGGGGTTCCCGCACGGGGGAGAGAGGCGCGCGGGTCTACCCCGGCGGCGTCAAAACCCAGCGCAGCAACCCCGCCCCTCCTCGTGAAGGCCCACGGGCCCGACCTGCGGAGCCAGCCGCAGCACCAGTAGCAGTGTGGCAGCAGCAGTAGCAACAGCAGTGTAGCGGTAGCTGCAGCAGCAGTAACAGTAGCAGCGTGGCAGTAGCAGCAGCAGTAGCGGTAGTAGCAGCAGCAGCAACGGTGGCAACAGCAGCAGTGGCAACAGCAGTAGCAGCAGCAGTGTAGCAGTAGTAGCGGTAGTAGCAGCAGCAGCAGTGGCAACAGCAGTAGCAGCAGCAGTGTAGCAGCAGTAGTGGTAGCAGTAGCAACAGCGGTAGCAGCAGTAGCAACAGCAGTCGTAGTGGTATAGCAGCAGCGGCAGCAGTAGCAACAGCGGTAGCAGCAGTAGCAACAGCAGTCGTAGTGGTATAGCAGCAGCGGCAGCAGTAGCAACAGCAGTGTAGCGGTAGCTGCAGCACCAGTAACAGCAGCAGCGTGGCAGTAGCAGCAGCAGCAGAGGTGGCAACAGCAGTAATGGCAACAGCAGTAGCAGCAGTGGCAACAGCAGTAGCAGCAGCAGTGTAGCAGCAGTAGCGGTAGCAGTAGCAACAGCGGTAGCAGCAGTGGCAACAGCAGTAGCAGCAGCAGTGTAGACAACTTAGATTAAAGCCATCAGTCTAACTCCGTACTACAACAAACAAACATGGCCAAACCAAAAAACTTTTCGAAATCACCTAAATAAAGCCATACAAGCAATGTAACAGTGAGCATAGGAACCGTGACCGAAATTTCACAATAAACGACTAAAACAAGTTGTACGGTGGGTGGACACGCGCGCGCACACACGGACTCACGCGAAACTAAACGCACCGCCACCGCCATCCCAGCGTGGATGACGAAGTCCGTTTGCCTCCGTACGCCTGGCACCGCCGCTGTACATTCCTGTAAAGCTCCACGGTGGCTAGGAGATGTTGACTACCTCGCCTGGTCTACAGGAGGTCGTGGGTTCGATCCCGACCCTGATGCCTGCTGTATATTTGGAGTTTGCGGTGTCTCTCTCTCATCATCATCATCACGGTGACTAAGAGATGTTAACTACCTCGCCTGGTGTACAGGAGTCGTGGGTTCGATCTCGACCCTGACACCTGCTGTATATTTGTCTCTCTCCCCGTGGTCACGTGAATTTTTCTCCGGGACCTCCGGTTTTTCCCCTCCAACATTTAGAATCGACGTCGCGCGTTTAGAGTGTTTGGCTGCCGATGGGCCGCCTCTTCGCTGAGCTATCATTTGCGACGGCCAGGTCGCTTCTGAAAAAAAGCGCGACGTAGCTCAGCGGACCTTACCTGGTTTAAAAAAAAAGAGAGGTAGTTAACAGTTATGGAATAGCTAGTACGTTCATAGCGACTCAACAGTTCGTTAAACCTCCTGAAATTGACGTCCGATATCTTGGAGCGGCAGCGGGGCCGCAGGTCGCGACCGCGGGGTCACAGGTCGCCTTCGCCCGGCGCGTTTGGAGTTGGCCGGGCCCCTCGAGGTGAACGATGCAGCGAGTGTCGCTCGCTCGCTCCCAGCGTCACCCACGGCCGTTCTCTCGCACGGACGACGAACGGACGACGGCGGCTGGAGTAAATTTTTACCGTGGTGTCGTTTCCCTCGTTCCAGGGCGCGCGTGGCTTCCCTGGCAACCCCGGGCTGAGCGGCATGAGGGGTCACAAGGTGAGCCGTCGCCAACGCGTTGCTGCTGCTGTTGTTGTTGATGCTGCTGTTGTTGTTGATGCTGTTGTTGTTGTTCTTGTCGTTGTTTCTGTGGCTACTGCTGCTGTCGTTGTCGCCGTGTCCTTCATTCCGGAGGCCCACCGGAGCCGCGCACCTTCAAATCATCTCGATTCAAAACTCGTTCCGCGAGAGAAGCTCCGTCAGTCGCGGTTTTGAAGGCTCGTCTGAAAAAACCCGCGTTAGTTCTCGCTTGCGTATCCGTCTGCGTAGGGGTTTTTTGTTTGTTTTACGCTTGGTTTTAAATGTGTAGGCAGTCAGTAGCCGTGAAAACAAAGCCAGTCATTGATGAGAAAGTAAAAAAGGGTTTGAACCTTTACTGGCAATAAAACGGGAGCTGTGTGAATATGTTCAAACGCCAAATAGGCACCTTTCGCGAGGCATCACGTAGCCACAAATTACTCGTGGCAAACAAACGTGCAAGCGAAAACCGACTCTCATTTTCCCATCGTTTTTGATACTGGCCAAAAAAAAAAAGGTCCAATCAAAGTCAATCGAACGTGGCCCAATCATCCTCATAGCGCCCACTCTTTGCCCTCTGTGTCTCAAGGCTCTTCTCTCTGTGTGTGTCTGCGCCTGTGTGTGCTTGTGTATGTGGGAGCGGTGGTGTAGCGGTTAGCGCTACGCTGCGCTACGAACCCGGCGACCCGAGTTCGATTCCCGCTCGCGGCCACCGACAACCGGTGACGTTTATCTGAGCCGGTCTCGGGTCTGCCCGAGGTCGACTCAGCCTCAAATGAGTAACTGGTACCGGTGTGTAAACATCGCCACTGGGGAGACAAAGGCGACCGGGCGTGGTGCTGGCCACCCACCCCCTCGTGTGCCGTGCCGGCCTTCGTAGGTGCTCGCTAACAGCACTTGCCCCAACAGTCTGCTATTCAGACGCTGTCTTTCCGACAGACCTGTTCTTCACCTGAGGACGGCTGCTTGCGTTGTGGCCGAAACGTCGTGAAAATTATTTTATTATGTTTTATTTTTATTATTTTATTATTTCCCTTCTACGTGACTTTACCGAAAGAACCAAGAAGATGAGTCTGCTAAGGCTTTGTCCTTTTGCACGTATGTGTGTGTTGAACTTCTGTTGCACCCTACGTGGCCAACCGTGCTCATCGGAGGTGCGGGGGGTGAAGGGACAACAAACCAAGAGCACGCCCCGAAAGAAAATCAGTTTTCTAACCCCGCCGCCGTGTCTGTTCCCAGGGCTACGATGGTCTGGATGGAAACAAGGGCGAGGCTGGCAGCGCTGGACCCAAGGTTGGTGAATTCTTCAGCGACGTCAACCTCATTCATTCGTTCGTTCATTCGTTCGTTCGTTTCATTCCCCCTTCGGCATCGGGACGCGGCGTTGCGTCTGCAGCGCTTCGGTGAAGAGAGATCCGCGAGCGAGGCTCCGCTGGAGAAGCCGGGGGACGAGGTTCTGTGAGATGACCGCAAGCGTAATGTCGCTGAACCCTGGCCCGTACCGAGATGATCGCGTTAATTTTATTTAGAAAGGCTTAGTAGCAGCGCCGTCGTTTTTTAAAATTGTCGCTCGCCGCAGAGAAGCGAGCGACACGACCGCCGCACTTTCCGATAGCCGGCGCCAAACCGTGCCACACGGCCCTCCCGCACGGCCTTGTGGGAGCCTCGGTACCGCTAAAAGTCATTTGATTTTAGTTTTTCTTCCCCATTTCGTTCCGACGACGTGTGCGTACGTCACATCAACCCTTTCACCGTCCATCGGGAACGGGAATGGTGTTAACGTTGCGGCGATGCCGAAGTCACCGGCTCCCGCTTACGCCCAAATCGATCGGTGGGATTCCCACGCTTCGACAAAGCTGACGGTCGCCACGACAGAAATGGCTCATCGCCCTCTTTCTTTTTTGTTTCGCCACGCCGGTGACCGTGACCCGCAGCGGGGCACCACGGCAGCTGCTGATGTTACTCGCCGATGATGCGAACAAAAAAAAACAAACAAGGGAATTTTCTTTTTAAACTCTCCGGCCGGCGTGCAGAGACTTCTGTGGTCAATGCCCAGAAGAGAACCGGGGGGGGGGGGGGGGGGGGGGACACGTAACGCAAGCTCGGTGCCCGCTTCGCAAACACGGAGGAGGAGGAGGCATCGTCATGGCAACGACGACTCACCACTCGGACACTCCTGACGATGCACGAGACACCCACCCCCACCCCGACCCCTCCAGCTCGACCAGCTCAAATATAAAATCACAGCCGTTGTTGCTCTACACTCTACAGCAACATCAGCAGCTGTAACAGCAGCAGTAACAGCAGCAGCAGTAACAACATCAGCAGCAGTAACAACATCAGCAGCAGCAGCAACATCAGCAGCAGCAGCAACAGCAACATCAGCAGCAGCAGCAGCAACATCAGCAGCAGCAGCAACATCAGCAGCAGCAGCAACATCAGCAGCAGCAGTGACATCAGCAGCAGTAACAACAGCAGCAGTAACATCAGCAGCAGCAGCAACATCAGCAGCAGCAGCAGCAACAGCAGCAGCAACAGCAGCAGCAACATCAGCAGCAGCAGCAACATCAGCAGCAGCAACATCAGCAGCAGCAGCATCAGCAGCAGCAGCCGCAACATCAGCAGCAGCAACATCAGCAGCAGCAACATCAGCAGCAGCAGCAGCAGCCGCAACATCAGCAGCAGCAACATCAGCAGCAGCAGCAACATCAGCAGCAGCAGCAACATCAGCAGCAGCAGCAACATCAGCAGCAGCAACATCAGCAGCAGCAACATCAGCAGCAGCAGCAACATCAGCAGCAGCAGCAACATCAGCAGCAGCAACATCAGCAGCAGCAACATCAGCAGCAGCAGCAACATCAGCAGCAGCAGCATCAGCAGCAGCAGCCGCAACATCAGCAGCAGCAACATCAGCAGCAGCAACATCCAGCAGCAGCAGCAGCAAAACATCAGCAGCAGCAGCAGCAGCCGCAACATCAGCAGCAGCAACATCAGCAGCAGCAGCAACATCAGCAGCAGCAGCAACATCAGCAGCAGCAACATCAGCAGCAGCAGCAACATCAGCAGCAGCAGCAACATCAGCAGCAGCAACATCAGCAGCAGCAACATCAGCAGCAGCAGCAAACATCTGATGGAGGAAACTGGACTGGCTTTCGTGTCTCACGTTGTGTGTGTCTCACGCTGTGTGTGTCTCACGTTGTGTGTCTCACGTTGTGTGTCTCACGTTGTGTGTGTCTCACGCTGTGTGTGTCTCACGTTGTGTGTGTCTCACGCTGTGTGTGTCTCACGTTGTGTGTGTCTCACGCTGTGTGGGTCTCACGTTGTGTGTCTCACGTTGTGTGTGTCTCACGCTGTGTGTGTCTCACGTTGTGTGTCTCACGCTGTGTGTGTGATGTCTCCTTGCTTTGTCCTCGTAGGGTGAGCGTGGACCATCAGGAGCGAACGGAGCTGCTGGTCTTACGGTGAGCACCTCGCAAGCCCCACTCTTCACCTTGCGAGCTCACACACACACACACAGCACACGCAACCACACAGCACACACAACCCACACACAACCCACACAGCACACACACACACACACAGCACATGCAACACACGCAACACACACAGCACACACAACACACACAGCACACAACACACACAACCCACGCAACCACACAACCCACACAGCACACAACACACCACACACAACACACACCACACACACCCACACCAACCCACACACACAACACACACACACATGCAACACACACGCACACACACCCACACACCACACACACACACAACCACACACACAACACGCAACACACACAACCCAACCACACACACAACCCCGCACACACGCAACACACCAACACACATACACCACAACCACACAGCACACACAACACACACACACACACACAACACACACACACACACAACACACACAGCACCACAACACACACAGCACACACAACACACACAGCACACACATCCACACGACAACACACCAGCACACAAACACACACAGCACATGCCAACACAGCACATCACACACAGCAACACACAACACAC